GGGCATGGTGGCAGGCGCCTGTAGTCCCAGCTACTCGGGAAGCTGAGGCAGGAGAATGGCGTGAACCCAAGAGGCAGAGCTTGCAGTGAGCCGAGATCGCGCCACTGTACTCTAACCTGAGCAACAGAACGAGACTCCATCTCAAAAAAACAAAAACAAACAAAAAAAAAACATAATTGCTGAGTCCTACCTCCACAGTTTCGATTTAGTAAGTCTGGGGTGGAGTCCAAGGATGGATATGCAATTTTTAAACTCAGGTGATGCTGAAGTTGCTGTTCTGGGAACCACACTTTGAGAACCAGCTGGCTTGGTAGATGAAAAATCTGTTCTGAATCAGAACACATGGGTTCTAATCTCAGTGTTGATATTAGCTAGTTATGTGGGATAGTACTGGTCATTTCAACTCTCTGCACCTTTCTTTGGTAAGATGGTTATATCTACCTTTTCTATTTCACAGATTTCTTAGAAGGATGAAAATATGATGACTTCTGTTGAAAGTAATTTGAAAAAGCTAATTTCAGTATGAAATATCCAAGATCATGGGATTTGAAAGATTCCTCAATAACCAGGGGGAAATGATTTTAAAATCAAGAACTAAAAATATTTATTAATTTGTCTACCATCATTTTACACCTTTTTTGTTGTTGTTGTTGTTGAGGTTAAGTCTTGCTTTGTCACCCAGGCTGGAGTGCGATGGCATGATCTAGGCTCACTGCAACCTCCTCCTCCTGGGTTCAAGTGATTCTCCTGTCTCAGCCTACCAAGTAGCTGGGATTACAGGTGTGTGCCACCATGCCTGGCTAATTTTTTTTTTTTTGTATTTTTATAGAGACGGGGTTTCACCATGTATGCTTGTATTTTAAGTACAAAACGATAGTAAATAAATCAATAAATATTTATACTTAAAATATAAGTAGAAAATAATGGTAGATAAATTGTCTTGAACTTCTATCTAGTTCATTTCTGGTTAACTTATACATAGAACTAGAAATTTATTTTTGATCATTACTAAACTTTTCTGTTTAGTGAATTGATCCATTCATTGAGTTTTTGTTTTGTTTTGTTTTGTTTTTTGAGATGGAGTTTCACTCTTGTCGCCAGGCTGGAGTGCAATGGTGCGATCTCGGCTCACTGCAACCTCAGCCTTTCAGGTTCAAGCGATTCTCCTGCCTCAGCTTCCTGAGTAGCTGGGATTACAGGCACGTGCCACCACGCCCAGCTAATTTTGTATTTTTAGGAGAAACGGGGTTTTACCATGTTGGCCACGCTGGTCTCGAACTCCTGATCTCAGGTGATCTGCCCAACTCAGCCTCCCAAAGTGCTAGGATTACAGGCATGAGCCACCGGGCCCAGCCTCACTGGGATCTGTTATCTAAAACCTTTTATTGGTTTTCAAGTTGGTTTAAGATTTCAACCTTGAGCTTAACTTCTGCTACTGGTAGATTTGTGTGTGTGTGTGGTAGAAATCAGATGGGGAGTTTAGAATTTAATAGATTGAAGTATTATTTTCTGGATTTTATTTACTTTTATTAAACTCAGCTAAATTCCCTTTGAACTTTCATTTAAATGAAAGCATTTAGTTCTTTACACAATAATGATTATTCTAGAAAAGAGCTGGGATTTGAACAGGATTTTACTAAAAGGGTTATTAATTTCAGCAAACCTATTACGAAGATGTAGCTAAAAGTTGTTCTACATACATTTCCGGGCAATACACTTTGTGATTTCATTTCCTTACTTTGGGCAGCAGAGCAGTTCACTGAAGTTGCAGTAACAGATCATCTCACATCCCTTCCCATCCCAGAAATGATCCTGGACATTGACATCAATCTCTGTCAGGTCAGCTACTCCTTCCGGAAGGTTGTGACAGTTGCGATCTTTTAGTATCTTTCTGTAGCAAGAGAGTCGATTTGTAGGCATGGCTTGAACTTCTAGCAGCAAAGTTAGCCCAATGGTGAAAACAAGTACCATCAATTTCATTTTGGCTTTTGGCCCTAAAATAGAAGAAAGACCAAAATGTGTCAATGTTTGTTTTTTAAAGATAGATTTCATCTGAATGAAGTTCTGTAGCATGCTTATAAACTCTTGGCTAGAAAGAATGGGAGTTGGCCTTTTCTACAATCCTGTTTGTGTTTCTCAAAGTGTAGTTTTATGACCATGTATGATAAAAAACCATTTGGAATATTTGTTAAAAATCAAATGCTGAGGCTTCTGGGCCAGGCACAGTGGCTCATGCCTGTAATCTCAGCATGGGAGGCTGGTGTACAAGGATTGCTTGAGCCCAGGAGTTTGAGACCAGTCTGAGCAACATAGTGAGACCCTGTCTCTACAAAAAATTAAAAAATTAGCCAGGCATGCTGGCACGTGCCTGTAGTCCTGCCAGCTACTCCGGATCACTTGAGCCCAGGAGTCTGAGGCTGCAGTGAACCATGATTGTGCCACTGCTCTACTGGGGGTGGCAGAGTGAGACCTTGATACACACACACATACACACACACAGTCACACACATGCTGTAGGCAGGGAGGAGGTGTTGGTGAGAGCTGAAATCTGCATTTAAGAAGTACCCAAAGCCATATATATTTTGAACATTCAGTAGAGAACACCTGCTTTTTAAGGTGGTATAAACTCAGGCAAATTTCTAGAACAAATAACATAATTGAATACAGTGGTTCTTTACCTTACATTATCTTACATCCTAACAACATTGTCAAAGAAGCTGGGTCCCCTCCTGACAGAAACAAAAAACCCATTTATGTTGATAATGACAGATGATAGTATACACATATATTTATAGTTTGATTGTTTTTTAACTTCCAGAAGTATTTTAGTACCCATTGTTGCAAATTTTTAGTAACGTTTGGATTTTTATCCCACATAGATGACTTCATCTTAGCTGCACTTGAAAACGAAGGCTTGAATTCCTGCCTTATAATTATCTAGCCTACCATGAACCCCTACCATGATGGGGAACTCATTATTGACTAAGTCAACATATCCCATTGATACATTTCTAACATTTCCCTTATTGTAAAATATTTTTCTGTAGCTTCCACCCACCAATCCTAGTTTGAACCCTGAAGTCATACTAACAATTCTAATTTCTCTTCTAGGAGATAATTTTTCAAGTACAGGATTTGCATAGAACTATAGAATATTAAGTATCTATCTAATTAGACTTCTCTGGTTTCTATATTAGATGTGAAGAAAATGGAGACTATCGTAGTAAAGGAAGAATAGCAAAATAGTGGAGGAACCAGAATTAGAATCTAGAGCCATTCAGATTTTATCTCGTTAACAGGTGCCAAAGTATCTTTTCCTCCTTGGAAAGAGGGAAAACAGATAGAGGATATTTCTCTTTGGATATTGTACTTGGAAAGAAAACAATATTGTAGAATAGCCAGACGTGGTGGCTCATACCTGTAATCCCAGCACTTTGGGAGACTGACGCCAGCAGATCACCTGAGGTCAGGAGTTCAAAACCAGCCTGCCCAACATGGCGAAACCCTGTCTCTACTAAATATACAAAAATTAGCCAGGCATGGTGGCGTGCGCCTGTAATCCCAGCTACTTGAGAATGGCTTGAACCTGGGAGACAGAAGTTTCAGTGAGCCGAGATCAAGCCACTGCACTCCAGCCTGTGCGACAGAGCGAGACTCCGTCTCAGAAAAAAAGAAAAGAAAAGAAAAGAAAACAGTATTGTGGAATGGAAATTTTTGGTATGAAGTTTTTAGTGATTAGGTATATTTTAAAGGTAAATCATTTTAGATAAGATCATTGATTTTGAAATAAATACATTTATTGCTTTTTTTTTTCTCTAGATTAGAAACAAAGTATTTCTTCATACTCCTAAATGTTTCAGATTTTCTTTGTCTCACATTCTAATTTGAGTTAGCCATTTTTGGCTTTGGCTGTATATTTCCTTAGAATTATCAATATCCAATTTAATTCCTACCTCCAAACATTAGTGAAAGAAAAGTCTAAAATGAGATCTACTTCATTTTATATATTTTCAGATTTAATGGAGCAAGACATTGTAGTGTTACAGTGCATCACAATCCAGCATATATAAATAATATCTTCCAATGGGCTTTTTGTAGGTCATGGTTTAAGTGACCGAATATGATCGATCATGGAGAATTTTCTGTATGTACTTGAGAAGAATGTGTATTCGTCTGCTGTTGACCTGAATGTTCTATATATGTCTGTTAGGTCCATTTGATCTATACTGGTGTTGAAGTCCACTCTTTCTTTGTTGATTTTCTGTCTGGTTATTCTATCCATTACTAAAAGTGGAGTATTGCAGTTTCCTACTATTACTGTGTTGCTGTCTGTTTCTTATTTTAGTTCGGTCAACATTTGTTTTATATATTTATGTGCTCTGATGTTAGGTGTGTATATAATTGTTACAGCTTGCTGGTGGGTTGACCCTTTCATCATTATATTTTCTTCTTTGTCTCTTGTGACAGTTTTCTACTTATAGTCTATTTTGTCAGAATAAAATAGTCCACTCTGCTTTCTTTTAGTTACCATATGCATGGAATATCTTTTTTCATTTCTTTACTTTCAGCTTGTGTGTGTCCTTAAATGTTAAGTAAGTCACTTGCAGAAATCATATAGTTATATATTGTTTTTTTTTCTTTCAGCAACCCTAAGTCTTTTGATTGGAGAGTTTAATCCATTTACACTTAAAGTAATTATTGATAGGGAAGAATTTACTATTGCCATTTAGCCTATTGTTTCTAGTTGTCTTGTAGTTCTTTGGTGCTTTTTCCCCTGCCTTGTCTTCCTTTGTGTTTTGTTGGTTGTTGTTTTCTTCTCCTCCTTCCTCCTTCCTCCTCCCTCCTCTTCCCCCCCTCCTCCTCCTCCTCCTCCTTCTTCTTCTCCTTTTCCTGATATGCTTTGATTCCTTTCTCTTTTGTGTAAACTGCTATAGGTATTTCCATTGTGGTTACCATGAGGCTTACATAAAATATTTTATAATTGGCCGGGCGCAGTGGCTAACACCTGTAATCCTAGCACTTTGGGAGGCCGAGGCAGGCGAATCACGACGTCAGGAGATTGAGAACATCCTGGCTAACACGGTGAAACCCCTTCTCTACTAAAAATACAAAAATTAGCTGGGTGTGGTGGCGGGCGCCTGTAGCCCTAGCTACTGGGGAAGCTGAGGCAGGAGAATTGCTTGAACCCAGGAGGTAGAGGTTGTAGTGAGCTGAGATCAGCGCCACTGCACTCCAGCCTGGGTGACAGAGAGAGACTCCATCTCAAAAAAAAAAAAAAAATTTATAATTATAAGTCTGTTTTGAGGTGATAACAACTTAACTTCAATCACATACAAAAACTCTACTCTTTTAATTCTCTCTCACCACACTATGTTATTGATGTCCCAATTTACATCTATTTATATTGGATATCCACAAACATATTTTAAATTATAGTTATTTTAATACTTTTGTCTTTTAACTTTTATGCTAGAATTAAATGGAATTTAACCACCACCATTTTAGTAATATAGTAGTCAGTATTTGTATATACACTTATCTTTATCAATGAGTTTCATATTTTCTTATGCTATTTTGTTGCATTTAACAATAAAGATGTATAGAGTGTTTCCTTATAATTAAAAGGAAACCTTTTTCTTCTACTATGGTCTTTCTATATGTTGCTCTCTCTACCAGGAATGTTCTTTTTTTGGCTGTTTTGACTTTTAGGTCTCAGTTTAAATGTCATTCCTTCCATGGCCTTTCAATCTAAGGTAGTTTCAACCTTATTCTTTCATAGTGCCCTTTTCTTTTCCTTAAGATATTTATCACAATTTAAATTATATATTTGTGAATTTACTCATTTTATGTCTGTCATTCTCATTAGACCAAAGGCTCCACGACAGCAATTTATTTTGTTCATTACCATACACCAGTGGCTAATACAATGCTTGGCGCATACTTGAAAATGAATGCTTTTCCAAAAACATACTTTTTATTCTAGGCAAGAGCCTACAGAGATTTTATGTTGTCTAAAAGAATATGTGGACTTCTTAGAACTAACCTAAGGCCTTCCTTTCACTTTGTCTCCACATCTATCATTCATTCCTGTTCAGCTAGCCAGGCAGTCAAGCCACTCATCTATGTATGTGTCTCTGCCTTGTTGTTCCTTCTCACCCCTTCCCTTGGTATTAATTTCTGACCAAAGCATCCATGAAGGACAAACCTCACACTCATATCTTCTAAGAATCCTTCCCTGATTCCAGACAATACTACTCTCATAGCTCCCTTGCTCTATGTTCCCAAAGCACTTACGTATAATCTGTCCTACAAGAACTGTGAATTTGAGTAAATAATGCCTTGTCATTGTCGACATTTTTATAAGCTGGTTAACCATTTGGAGAACATGACTACAATTGAATATGGGGAGTGGGAAATTCAGAAAGCTGATTAATTATTTAGTGAATTGGTTATTATGTGAATTTACCTATAGCCAAGAAGGAAGATTGGGAACAATCATAAAGGGCCTAGAAGATATGTAAAGAGTTCAGATTGTATTGGGTATATTAAGAAGCCATTGGAAGATTTTGAGAGAACAGTAGCATGATCTGATTTATGCCTTTTTAAAAAATCCCTGGCTGGTCTGTGAAGATGTATTGTGGTGGGACAAGATTGGAAATAGAAGAAAAGAGACTTTTGGTGAGAACCGATGGGAGATATGAGGCAAGAGGGAAAGAATCAAGGATGATTCTTGGGTTTTTGGCTTGAATGGTGTTGCCATTTGTTCAACTGAGGAAGAATTGGAAGGAGCCAATTTTGGCAGGAATCCAGGAATGAGTTTTTAGACAAGTTAGGTTTGAGATGCCTATTAGATATCCAAGTGAAGATGTTGAATAGGCAGTTGAATGTGAGTCTAAAGATCAGGGCTGGAAATACAAATTTGAGCGCAATCAGGATATTTATTGATAGTATCTATAGCTATGGGTCTGGCAGGGCAGTAAGGGTAGACCCAGAAGAGATGAGGCAAAGGGCTGAGGCTAGGGAAATTCAATATTCAGAGGACTGGAAGAAGAGATGCTAACATCAAGTCAGCAAGTATTGTAACTTCTACTTCTTTTGTATTGAAGAAGAGTGTCTGCTTCAATGCTGAGCTCATAGTAAGTGTTCAAAAAATTTCCTTCAGTGAAATGAACAAATAAATTTCTGGAAAAATAAGTAGGTAAATTGTCATACCACATACCTCTTCTATTTTCATGCCAGAGCATAAAATTGTTTTTTTGTTTGTTTGTTTGTTTTTTGTTTTTTTTTGCCGCAGTCTCAGTCACATACTACAATGGAAAGTTCCACACCTGGCAAGTACCTACTGGTAGTTGTGTGTGTGAGTGTGTGTGTGTGTGTGTGTGTGTGAGAATGCATTATACATTACATGTTTTGGCCAGGCACAATGGCTCACGTCTGTAATCCCAGCACTTTGGGAGGCAGAGGTGGGCAGATAACGAGGTCAAGAGATTGAGACCATCTTCGCCAACATGGTAAAACCTCGACTCTACTAAAAATACAAATATTAGCTGGGTGTGGTGTCGTGCGCCTGTAGTCCCAGCTACTCAGTCCCAGCTGAGGCAGGAGAATCACTTGAACCGCAAAGGCAGAGGTTGCAGTGAGCTGAGATTGCACCACTGCACTCCAGCCTGGGTGACGGAGCCAGACTCCGTCTCAAATAAATAAAATAAAGTAAACTACATGTTTTAAATGCAGAATTCTGTTCTTCCTGTACTTAAGTACAGATAAATAGCTTTAACTATTATTTAGCAAATGGAAAAATTTCTGACCCAGTGTGTTCCTGGGATACATTGGTGGTTGTTTTCATTAAAGGACACGAAACTTAATCCTTGGCAATCCATCAAAACCATATATGTTCAAGTGGTAACAAGAGTGAAATGATTTTGGCCAATTTGAAGCAAATTGGTCTTTTTTTTCTTTTTCGGTTGAGGTACATGTACTTAAAATTCCTCCTGGAGTACACCCAAATTACAAAAGAAAACAAAGTTACATACTAAAAATTAGAAGGAGTGAGCAAGAGAAGCTTAGGTAGTTATCCATTGTTTTCATAAATTCGATTTTATGTAATTAACTTGGTTCCAAATGTACGATACCATTTATATCCTAATAGTGTTGTAAGTTTTAATAGATCATTGCAGAGGATACAGGATTATGAGCAAGACATTTCCAACTAAACAATAAATCATTGCTACCATCCTTTGGTAGGGAATTGCAAATTTTGGGCATTCAGCACAAGCAAGCTTTTGAATGGCTGGAGTTAAATGCAGACTTAAAAAGAAAAATTATCTCATTTAATTGCCAAAACTAACAGGACCATGTAGTTTAAGTGTTCAGACATTTATGGTGCAAATGCTCATACAGGCAGCTGATGTCAGTTCTGGGAACTGGTATTAAGAGCAGTGGCGTGAAACAGAGTTGATGAATTAGACAGAAAAGACAGTCCATTTTCGGACTGCTTTCAAAAAAGCAGCAAGAGAGAAGCAAAGCTGCAAAAGCAAATGAAAACTCCAGCCCAGAACTTGACATTTGAAATATCAAAATTATAGTTGGGAGAGATTAAAATTGCTGCCCAGTCTGTGATGTTTTCCATTCATCTTTCTTGGAGGATGAAAATCACTGTTTTTTTAAAGTTCTCTTTTTTTCTTATTAACTGCCTTAGAAGACGTTTTTGTTAGAGTGACTGAGTCCTTAGTAAATGTTTTTGTTAGAAGAACTGAGTCCTGAAGTGAAATTTCCCAAAATATGTGTTAAAGAACAGAAGTAGTATTAAACAGTGAATAAGCTGCTTAAAGATCCTTAAAACAGACATATCATCTTAAATATCTAAGATAACTTCATCCATAGAAAAACATAATCCACATCCTCCCTAAAAGTGATCAGGCTCTTAGAGCATGCCAGAAGATGATATTAATATTCAGTCTTGCATCATTCTCCTTCTTTTCCTGGACACAGTAAATCATCATCACTGGAGAAAAGGACCAGCATTTGGGAGAGCTTTTCAAAGCCTGTGTAACTAAGTTAAGGAATTTTAAAGAGGAATTTTTCTAAGTCTCAGAGGGAAAAAGTGTTCTCTTTATATTAGCAGTACAGACACTGTTGTGTTCCAAGAGTGGACACCAAGGATGAATTCAATGAATTCCCTCTTTGTGTCCCACATTTGTACCAGTTTCTTTTCAGGAATCAGGATTTTTAAAAGCAAAAAACACTGGCTTTCTTAGATGTTGCAGTTAACTTCATGTAGTATAGGTAATACAGCTGCTGCATTTAAAACAATCTTATATACTTCATCATCCTCACATAGTTCTGAGGACTGGGATAAGTCCTGTTGTGTGGGACAACATTCAGAGTGAATTTGGGCATTCAATAAATGACAGTGAAGAATCTGCCTCTTTTTAAACCTATAATGAAATGACATTCCTCGTCAAGAAATATACATTTTCTGTTCTCTTTTAATCTGATTATTTGCCTTTCTACTAGGAAGCATCATATTTTTCAAAGTGCCTGCACCATCTCCTCAGAGGATCTCTGTCTTTTTCTTCTGACTCAACACATACATACATTTCTGCTCTAATCTATAGTAATAGTTTGGAGTAAAACAACTGACATGTTTTTTTAAAGAAAAAATTACATACCTTTTTCTTCTTTCCTTTTGGTCTTCTTGGCAGAGGATGCTTCTTAAATGCTCACACTCACTGGGTGAGTTTGAGCAAAAGGAGAAGAGAGGAGGTGCTGGAAGGAGCTTCTTTACAAATGAACCTTTGTCTGCCTTGTCTCTGGCCTGGGATCGACAGACTCGCTGCTTCAGCCAGGACTGCGGGGAGGAGGGGAGTGGAAGATGAGGAGGCTGCAAGAACTGCTTCCTTTGGAAGTGTTCATTTCGTTCCAAACCAGGCGAGAATGAACTGAACAGCTTCTTTACACAGGGAAATAACTAGTCTATACAAGAACCTCAGGGAGGCAGACTCTGGTAGCAATAAAACATAAAACCTGAGGTATTTTTAAAAGAACACAGAGTGATTTTTCCCTTAAGAAAAGTGTGTGTGTGTGTGTGTGTGTGTGTCTGCATGTGTGTGTGAGAGAGAGAGAGAAAGAGAGAGAAGAGGAAAGTAGGGAATGGCTAGCTGTGCACCTCTTCCCTTTCCACAGTTTTCCTAGCCATCTAGATATCTTACAAATTTTTGGCAGAAGATATGTTCCAATTCACATTCCACCCCTTCCATTTCTCACCCAAAGAGTCATTACGATCAACGGTAAGCTAAAATGATGACTAAAAAAGAAATGTATTCTGTGTCTTAGAAATAAAGGCACAAAATAAATTTTATTCTGTTTTCAGCAAACTATACTGGAATTCTAACATCTGTTAACTGTCTTTTAGGTTTTTAAAAAATTCGATTAGGAGTCGTGTTCTGGGAATTAGAGAGATTATATTGTAATGGAGTTAGAATTATCTAGACAGACAATTGAGGAAAGGGCATTCCAGGTTGAATTACAAAGGCATGAAGGTGAAAGAGAGGGTGACGCCTTTGGAGATTATAGGTAGTTTCATTTGGCTAAAACTCAAAGATGGTAGGAGATGAAATTTGAGAGATAAGCAGCAGCAAATTGGTGAAGTACCTTATATGCCATGCTAAAAAAAAAATGGGATTTTATCCTGAAGATGAATGGAAAGATGATGAAAACATATTAAAAAGGATGAAAAGCCTGACTGCAGTGTGAAACAAGGATGGTTTCCCGGGAGGAAAGGAGACTAAAGACAGAGAATACCGGCTGTTGCTGTAGTCCAGAAGAGAAGATAGGAAGGAAAACTGAAAAGACTTGATGATCAATTAAGTGTTTATGTTTAGCATAGAGATAGGAAACTTTATTAACTTTCAAAGGCTTGGGTCTTTGGACGGTGGTGCTGTTAATCGTCTAGAAAAAGAATGTAAAAGGAAGAGCTGTTATTCATCTAGGAAAAAGAATACAAAAGTTTTGGCTGGAGGAGTGGGAAAATAGAAATGAGTTAGTTGGTGAATGTTGAGTTTAAGGAACCCTAAATACAATTGAGAATGTTTAGTAGGCAATTGATTAAATAGACCTGGAGCTTAGGAAAAAGCCTGGTCTAGAGAATTAGTTCATCAACCAATCAACTCAATATCAAATAATCTCAACTAAATAACTAATAGAGTTATTCAACTAAATGATAGCTGAAGTCATGGTTGTACCACTAAGAACTTACTGTGGTCTTACTGTGTGCTAGGCATTTCACACATCTGAACTTGTTCACTCTCCTTCCAACCCTATGAAGTAGGTACTATTATTAGTCCCATTTTATAAATGGGGGGAACATCAGAGATGCCAGGTAACCTGCCCCAAATCACACACACAGCCAGAAAATGGCAAGACCCTGGCAGTGTATTTCTAGTGTCTTTATTTCCCACCATTATGCTGTACTGCCCCTTAGAATAGATTATAGAGTTCACAATAGGACTGAGTGCAGAATCATTTAAGGGTTGGGTTGAGAACTGGGAAGGAAACTGATAAGAGGTAGGCAAAGAAGTAGGGGAAAAATTAGGAGAGTGTCATCATGGAAGTTAAAGGAAGAGTATTTCAAGAGAATGGAAGTGAGTGGAAGGCTGCTGATGACAGCAGTGTTGGAAGAACCACACATGCACACCCTGATATGAAGGTAGGCAGAGCAAAGTGAAGGTCAATACAACCAGAAGCAGTTCCAGCCCTGACAGAGGTCAAATCTCTGCTTGGTCTCTATTTCACTGAAGCTGGAGCAAGTGGCATGGACTTCAGGAAGGGAGATGAGAGGTGTGTGTGCAATGGACTGCACATTTCCTTTGCATATTTATAGTCTGCTCTGAGTCTTGCTAAATAAAGATGATGCCATACACAGATGGAGTTAATTTGTTTGCATGATTTAAATGTATAGAAATATGTGAATATGAGGAGGAAAATGGAAACTAGCCTTTATTCCACTTTAAGAGCTATCCGTCCTGTTTACCTCAGGTAGATCTAAACCAGAGGTATGGTGCCAAGGCAAATCAACATTCCCTGTAGATGGATCCTCTCTTTACTCTGTTTTACTCTTATTTCCCTGTGTGTCTAATTCTGTCTACATTTCCCTTATTGTGTTGCTCATTTTTTCTCCTTGTTTCTGAATTCATAGCTGCTCAAAATAGTTGATTCATTTTTATATTCAGCAACACTGAGATCCATACAATATGCTTGGCGTTGTGCTTATGAATGCTGGCTGTAAGTGGCACACAGCAGCTCTTGGTAATTATCTAATTGTCTCTGGATCATGTTCTGAGGCACTTAGGAAAGTTTTCCCCTAAGAAGCACATTTCGACCCTGGCCTCCAAATCCCTTGTGTTTTCAAACATGTGTTTATTACTAGCTGGACTTCCTATCATTTCTAGGAAGAATTATTAAACATTATCGAACTTATAATTGCTTGTCATTCATCCTGATGTCCATTACATGGAGTTGTCCATTTGAGAAGGAGTTGAATTGCAAACCAAGGCCTGCAATCACAGAGTCTGCCTTTGTGGCTTTTAATTTGTGGCCCAAATCTGAAACCACTCTTAGTTTTCCTGTACGTGGAGCCTTAAGGCCTTTTTGTTTTCTTTCCTGATGGGCTGTTGCTCAGATCTCTTATGGAACCCACTTTATGTAGCTTTGAAGACCACCCTGTTTCTTTGAGATGGCCTCAGGAGCCTCCCAAAGTAAACCTTTTATGTGACATAGAGCTTCTATTTTAAGTAAAACCATACAAATGTACACATTTCCAGAAAATAAGTCCAGCTATGTATTTTTATGTGATGATGATGACGATGGTGGTGAGGATGATGATGATAATGATGATGTGTGTGTTTATTTCTAAAGGTATATGTTGTCACTCTTAGGTGCAATCAGGTTTGTTAGAAATAGAAAATCCTCACAAATTAGTGATAAGACCGATTCATGAGTAGAGAAACATTTTATACAGAATTTAAGCAATTACATTCAAAGTACTGAAATTAAATTTGTAAAGGGATCTAATTAGTAATTTTTTTTAAAAAAAAAAAACCTCCCAAAATTGAAAAATAAAGAAAAACACCAAAAACAGCCAAATCCTTCCAATCAGATGAAGTCTAAACAGATGTCTCAGATACAAATAATTTCAAATATCAGACATCTTAAGCTTGTGAGAAAAAAAAAAGGAACGTGCGTTAGTTCTTCCTCTGATGTCCACCTGGGAGCTCATACATTCGCCCTAATTTAGAATCTGCTGCTCCTCTGTTCCATGATTGACCCCTTTCTCTCATTTCCCTCAGGCTTGACTCCTTCTGGGCTCACCAAGGCTGGCAGTATGGGGAGAAGCAGCAGCTGGTTTCAGCCTTCACAGCTCACATCTTCCCAGGACAGAGGTAGGACTTGTTTTATGTGAGTATCCTTGACAAAAGGGGCCTCAAAATAATTGCACTTATTGAAAACTAACTGACAATATGCTTGTTGAAATAGTGATGAACTGAAGACAAAATTACCTCTTAAAACTACCTTTAAAATCTTTCATCAGTTAAAAAGAAACAAGCTATTTTACTAACTTAACTATGTTTGAACTCAGTAAAAGAGTTTCCTCTTCGATTAAAACTATTTAAAGTTTCCCTTAAGATATCCACTGAACCTGGGACGTTTATGCTTAGAATGGTTTTTGCAAGTGGGTTGAACAACATAACCTCTATTACCCAAACTTAGCTTTGTGTTGCTGAAGTGAGACTCAGGAAAACAGATTCTACTGAGGAATCATCAGTGAGGCCCTTGAAGAGACAGCAGAATCACCAGATAGCTGTTGTGTAAGAGGATGAGCTGATGCTACCTCCCCTGCTGGGAGAGAAATGCTTCCATGAGGCATTCATATTGGAATGCAGTTTCGATGGTATGATGTACTTGGGAATGGCTAGGATTCCCAGATGGGCAACCCTGGCTATAATGGGGATAGCCAGGGGAGTCTTATTAGTCAGAATATCAAACACAAGCTCTCTTTCACCTGGGCATAGAAAGTAAGGCAGCCCCCTTCCCCTGCGCCGCCCTGGGAGTGCTGGGCTTTTTAACAGAATTGATACACAGAGATTGTAAGGTTACTCATGTAACCATGAGTACCATGATTTTAAATACCGCAGAAATAAAGTCAGAAAAATGAACATCAGGAGAGACCTGTGTCCAAGAAAACTATCCACTTTTAGGAGCCCATGGAATAGTTAGAATGAATGGTAATGTTAATATGAAAATAAACTTTGGCAGGAAAAGAGGCCAAGAAGGAAAGGAACATGAAAATAACCTTTTTAGTTTCCTGGCAGTCTCTGAGGGCATTGGACTGGTCCATGGAATCACAGCCCAGAGTCCAGCAATAATTTTATGATTTGTTGGAGACAACCTACTCACTTACCAAACCTAGAAAGATGGAAAGATTGACTAAGTGTGTCAACGTGTATTCTTTTGTAGGTCCTGAGTTATTGCCCTAATCTTCTCGAAGTTGTTTCACAGAGACAAGCATCTGGTGAGTTCATAATGTTAATGATAATAGCAATGATACTAGTAATAATAATGCTATTAACTGCATTGCCAAGTGTACTAAACATTTTACAAATGTTGGCTTATTTAGTACACGCAACTTACTTACATGAGGTAGTTTCCAGACGGGGGAACTGGGGTTCAAAAAAATTAAGCACTTGGCCAAGATCACACAGTTGATAAGTAGTGGAGCGCAAACTGGAAACCAAGACAAAACTGTGCTCTTAGCCTGCTGCCACAATAAATAGTAAAAAAAAAAAAAAAAAAAATAGAATGAGAAATTAGAGAACCTAAAATAACAGTACCTTTTTAAAAAATCGTAGCCCATAATTTGAGTGTGCATGAATCACACCTGCTCTCTGGGAGCCACAGAGTCCTCTCTCTTTTACTGTGTTTCCTCCATCCATCTGTTCATATTTGACTTGAAACAGTTCTTACGTGGACAGTCAGAAACTTAAATCAGCTGAATGGTGTTTTCTACAAAGTCAGATATGGAAAGTTGCCAAAATATCAGTCCTTGGGACAGAGGTTTTAAGTGACTATAATTCTAGGAGTAAAACCAG